CTCCTGGCCAGTCAGGGACTGGAGGACTCTCTGCCAAGGTCACATTCTCCATGTGCTCCTGGAGGGCTAGGCCTTGCAAAATGCTTTGCACTCTGCTCCTGCTCTTCAGGCTCCTGCCTCAGCCTACTGTCCCATTCAAGTCGATTCCCCCAGGACCCTGAAACTAGCCTTACTTCCCCACGCACAGCAGCCTGTGCTGAGCACGTTGCCACTTCCAGCAAATAACTGGAAGATCAGGAGATGTGCTGCCCTGCCTGGGAGCACACATCGCCCTGACACACCCCCAGCCTGTGTTCAGGGTTCTGAGTATGATGCCGCTGCAGAGCCCTGGCAGATGTGCATGCCTCTGGGGATTGCAGGCCCTTGCACACCTCTCCCCCAGGGACAAACGAGTGAGCAGAATGCTTCCCAGAGGCTGCGTGATGCAGGAAGCAGGGACAGACTGAGCCGGACGGAAAGATGAGCCCAGGCAGGACCCAGCCTCCCAGCGACCTTTGCAGGCATGACGGGCAAGCCCATGTCTGCAAGCCTTGAGGGCTGAGTTTTCCTTGGGACAGGTGAGCTGCGCTGCACGTCCTCACCCATGTGGCTGTGCTCAGACCCCTGCAGGACTTGGGCTCCATGTGCCTCTGTGACAGAGACTGAGAAGAGACGCTCCCTCCTTGAGAAAGCAGCACAGCTGCCGTGGCCACAAGACCTCTTTAGAAAGCTCTTTGCCAGACCGAGGACGCAGCTGAATTCAGGGAATCGAGCTGTACTGTTTGGGGCTAAAATGTTACTTCTGCCACGTTACACAACACCTTCGCTGCCTCCTGGGTGTCATTACAAGGGCGTCAAAATGAAGCTCCAGGGTAGTGCAGATCGTCTGGGTCGTGGATTTCCCTGGAAACACTCCAGCATCTTGCAGATACAGCTGAGAGAAGGAGAGAGGGAGGTGGCAGAGTGGCAGCTGGAGATTTGGCAGTGGTCAGACTTCATTCCTGCCCGCCTTCTGCAGACACTGCATTGCCAAGCCAGCTTTCTTGGGGTTCACTTCAGGGCGAGGAATTTGCTGCTATTGGGGAAGGGGCGTTCATGCATGGCCTGGTGGTGACAGGCTATAGAGGCGGCTTAGTGGTTAATGCGCCACAGAGAGGTGGGCCAGCCAGACCCGCCGTGGCCGGCTCTGTGGCACTGCCGCTGGTTGTGAGCATGGGCTGTGGCTTTGTGTGTTGATCCCATCGTAGGTCCCACGACTTCAGAAGTCAGGAGGTTCAAAGTGTTCTTCACTTGGTTTTTAGGGAGAAAGCAAACCAATGACTAAAAGGAAAAGCTACTAGGAATTTACTAGCAATTTATTGTGAAATAAAATTAATAGTAAAATTAAAAGAAAAACATAGGACACCCCTGTACACACACATCCCAGAGCAGGTATGGTGCAGGGCCTGGTGCTGCCCAGCCCATCGCACTTGTGCCGGCCACAGCCTCCTGCCCTGCACAGCAGTGGCCAACAGCTGCCACCGGCCCCTGCAGGGACAGCACACGACCTGTGGCAGTGCAGCCTGGAGCCGGGTGCTGCTTGATCGCACTGGGATGAGTGTGCTTCAGCTACCTGCTCTCATGACTGCTAGGTTGGGTGGTGCCGTTCTGACCTGGTGACCAACCTGGCCACTGTGACAGAGGGGTCCAAGCAGGGGGCCAAGGAGCCCAGAAACGGGCAGGGTGGATCTTCACCATGTGTAGCAGTGGAGGCCTGCCTCTTGCAGGCAGCCAGCAGGACCAAGGGTATGCAGTGATGGAGTGGACAGAAAGCACAGGCGTGTTGATGGGTGACACGGGTGTACTGGAGATGCCACCAGAGAGGCTCCACAGTGACCCTGGCCCAGGGGCGGCGGGGCTCAGCTTCACCTCCTTTGTGCTCTGCATGTTGTTCTTGGTTGCATCCTTCCTGGAGAGCAATTGGGCCAGGAAAACTTACCCCACAGCACAGAATGCAGATGTAAAGCAGAGGTAGGGGCACAGCAGGTTCCCAGCAGCACCCACACAGATACCCATGTGCGTGCACCAGACGCTAGCCATGGACATTCAGCGGGAAGCGGTGGCAGCCCTCAGCCACAGGAAGCCGCTGTATCTAGCAGTGGGCATGGCTGCCACATGGCCGGGGAGAGAGAGAGAAGGGGCTGTGGGCCCTGAGATTTGCTGGCTTCTCTCTTTTCTTTATGTGCTGGTACAGGGTCTCGCTGTGCAGCTCGGACTCATAGTGCTCCTGTTTTCAGCCGCCTTAGCACTGGGATTACAGGTGTATGCCACCACGCCTGGACTCGCCCCTGGGCCTTGGCTTCTCTTTTGGGAAAACAAATCACTGATCACAGGAAAGGCCCATGGTGGGAGAAGGGTGCCCTCTAGTGTCTGCCTGTGTCGCCTGCTGGCCTCACACTTGGCTTCTAACAGTGGCATGAACCCTTCCGCCTCACGCCACAGAACGCATCTCACCTGGCCCCTGGCGTGCACAAGGGTGTGACCAGATGCAGCATGCACTTGAAATTTGAAAGTTTTGACATAGGGCTGGTGAGATGGCTCAGTGGTCTAAAGCACCTACTTAGAACAAGCTTAGCAAAGCACAGGGACCGCGGTTTGATCCCCCAGCACCGCATGCCAGCCAGCCCCGCCCCCTGGTGGCTGAGCTGGCCACACACACACACACACACACAAATAAAATAATAAATAAATAAATAAATAAATAAATGAAAGTTATGACAGTGAGAGGCATGTTGACCCAAAGGCCCCTTGAAACACTGCCTCTGACTCCAAACGCCCTCCTCCTACTGCCTTAGTCACTTTCTGCCACAGCTCCAGGGTCCTCTTTCCTGAGTGTCTTTAACTGGGCTGCCCTGGCTGCTCCAGTGTCCTAAACCAATTCAGAATGCTGGCCTTTGGTGCCCATTTGGACCCTGGGGAGGAGCCAGAAGTTCATGGCGGCAGTCTGCAAGCCTGTCTCTCCATCGGACAGCACTGGGCAGCCGCAGGTGCTGCACGCCAGCACGGCTTCAGAAGCAGCAGCCTGGTGGGCTGAGTGTGCTCAGAGCAAAGGGGGGGTTCTGCGGGAGGCTCATGGCAGTGGGGCTTTCGCTGTAACAAAAGATCTTTAATTTAAACATTCACCCTATTTTTCCATTACTTCTTACACAGAATAGTGACACAAATGACTCCAGAAACAATACTTATACTCACAGCACATAATGTACTATTACACTCTTAGCTCCTTTTTTATTTGCTTCATTTTTATGTTGGTTATAACCTGCTAAGTTGATCCAGCCTGCAAACTGAAAACAGACTCTCTGCCTCCAGTTGTTACCTTGGGGACCACACCCTGTACATTCTGTGTCCCTGTGCAGGGCACCTGCTCCAAATCTGCCCCTTGCAGGTAACCAGGCCATGGTCAGATGCAGTCAGGGCGAGGGAGGTGAAAGGGAAGGAGACAGCTTGGGTTCCACATGTAGGAAGACTGGGGCCCTACCAGGGTTTTCAGCGGTTCCCCTGCCCTGCGCTGCTTTTCTGTCTCATTTTCAGTATGCACACTTTGGACAAAAGAGCTTGCAAGGGCTCAGACTGCTTGCGCTGCTCTGCCCTGCTCTGCTCTGGCCTCTGCTTCCCATCATCCAGGTGAGAGTTGGACTTGAAGGTCCCTCAAGTGACATTCTGTGATTCTTTGTCTGGGAGAGGGTGGGGCCCAGTTTGGATGTACAGTGAGGAGGATGTGCCTGATAGGAGGTTGGAGTGGATCCCAGGAGACCAGGGTGGAAAGAGGCTGCAAGGTGGCAAGGCTGCCGGGCTGGCAGCGGGTGCCACAGGACATGACCTTGCTCCCCCTAGCTGAGAAAAGCAGCAACTGGGTGTGTTCCCCCACCACCTCCCCAGACTCCAGGCCTTGCTACAGGTGCTGCAGACGGTCTGGGCCTTGATGGAGCCCATGTATTTGCTGCTCTCCCTATGGGTGTCATGCTGTCACGGGCAGGCCCTGGCCCAGCATGGGCACAGGCTCCATAGCAGACGGGCCGGAAGGCAGAACTGAGCTCCTAGAAGTGCTAGTACCTGGAATGGAGGGGAAGCCGGAATGGGTATAGCCCCAGGCTGGGAGCAACACCAGGTAGAGACAGTTTGGGCTGCGCTGCCCTTCCCTTGGGGTCATGTGGAGCAAGCCCTATGGGATGCTGAGAAGGACTTGTGGTTCTCGGGGGACCTCCTTGTGCCTTGTGCCAGCCTCCAATGGGACTGTTTTCTCTTCTGGGTCTGTGTGGCCCATTTAGTGCTATTGGGGGCTGCCAGGAGCCAGCCAGGCCCTGAGGTCTCTGAGGTTGGATCAACCAGGGCCAAGCCCAGGAAGGGGGAGTGCTGAACTTGAGTTAGAGCCATTGCTATGGCCCCGCCCCCCAGCAACTCTGGGTCCCCATCTCAGCTGCCGGGGCCATGGTCTGCTGACATATCCTGGGGGTCAGAAAGGCCACCGAGTGAAGACGGCCACAGCTGAAGACAGGGACAACGGGTTCATACCTCACAGTGTCTTCGCTGCAGGTGTCAGGAGCGTGTCTAAGTGCACCATGACTTCCTCTAGGAGGGGATAGCATGTGGCACTCACCTCCCAGCAGGGCTCTGTGAAGCAGGCTGGGAACATGCGATGGTTGTGCCCCAGTGGTTCCCACCACGTCCCCAAGGGAGAGAGGCAGTGTCTTGGTCCGTCCCCTGGGCACCTGTCTATGTCACTGCCTTCAGCCCCCGTGGCCCTGGCCCTGTTGCTGTATCCAAAGGCGACCCTCGCAGGAAGCAGGAGACAGGCCTGCCAGTAGCAAGGCCCTCCACGATAGTCACCAGCCAGGAAGATGCCACCTCTGGCCCTGAAGCCTGCTGTCCTCCTCTGCCCTGGCCACAGGGACCTCGGGGTCCCCCAAGCCTTCTGAGGTTCTCAGGGTCTGGGACCTCGTGTGCTGGGAGCTAATGGCTGCATTCTCCCCGTGACATTGCAGGGACACCACCTCAAACTCACTGACTCCTGAGGACACTGAGGACGTGCCCGTGGGGCAGGACACCGAGATCTGCCTGCTGAAGTCCGGGGAGCTGATGTAAGTGGCAGGGACCCCAGAGAGGACCCAGAGCTGGGGACTGCCCCCCGCTCCGACTCCAGTGCGTGCTTTTCACTCTCAAGGCATAATGTATATGCACTGAGGTTCTCCTATGGCAGTGTGCGGCCCTTGAACTGTGATGCCCGTGCGACGCAGTCACTGCTGCCGTTGGAGCATGGAACTGTCCGTCACGCGAGTTCTGCCCCTTTAGTCACTCCCAGACCCGACCTTCTCCTTTCGAAAGTGACTGTGTAATGTTCTGATTGTGGGGGCAGTGTGCTGTCATCGTCGGAACCTGGGGTGCGAGCCCGCTGTGCTGCGTGGTGGCCGCCTCAGCAGCTGAGGCGTCTGCACAGAGCGCCCGCGGCAGGGGCGAAGCCTTGCATCTTCAGGGCAGCTGGGGCTTGGGGTGTTTTAAAGCCTCAAAAGGCATCAGTGAAGTTATTTTGAAACAGTTGTCTTTGCTGCAGGGGTCAGTCATGGTGCCGTCTGCCACGCAGACGTCCTCGTACAGGTGTTTCTGTGACAGCTGTGGCAGCCTTCATGAAGGCTGTGGGCTGTCTTCTGTGGCAGTTGTTGTCGCCAAGCGGTAGCCTGGCCCCCTCCTTCCCCATCTATTGGCTTTATTTCCTTTATTTTTGTTTTTCTCAGTAAGGACTGACAAAAATGACTCCGTTTTGAGTCTGACGACGTTCGCGACACCTTGCAGTCTTTCTTCGGTACACATTGACAGTGACCCTGGACTGCGAGCTCAGGTTGTCAGCGGAAGGCTCAGGCTCCTTCCTGTGCGCGTGCCTCTCGTGCACAGGCAGACCTCAGTGTCCTTAGAGGGACACCGGCCTAGGCTTGCTCAGATAACCCCGTACGGGAGAGGTTTTCTCTTCTCAAGTTGAACTGCTGCGTTCATTCTTCCTTGAGCCCTTCCAGTAAGTTGTAACTACGAGTTCCTTCCAGAGCCTTTGAGTTAAATCTGCATCTGAGACCATCTGGAGGCACAAGCAGTGCACATTCGGGTCATGACACAAGACTTCAGTCGTAAATTAAAACTAAAAGTCTGGTCGTAGAGCAAATCGGATGCCAGGCTGGTTGCAGCCGAAGGGTCCACTGTATTTATAGCTTTCAACATAAATATTCTGGCCCGTATTTTGGAAGCTTTTAAGCTCACTGTAGCACACGAGTTTCCTCTGATGTCGGTTCCTCCAGTGCTGCTCCTTGCCACATGACAGCCTGCGGCCTCTGAGTGTCTTTTCCCGTGGTCTCCTGCTCCTCTCCTTTGGGACCCGTGGCACCAGTGCCAGGCGCTTTGCTCGTGTCCGCAGCGCCTCCGCGGCACACACAGGTGCGTGCACTCGTGCGCACCCCAGGCTCCGCCATGCTGCTCAGGCTGAGCGAGCCCGGTGTTCTCCTTTCAGGTTTAACTATTGAGTTCATCCACTAGGTTTTTTATATTTTGTTTCATTTTAAATTGTTGTCTGCAGTTTTGGGGATTGTGCCCTGAAATCTCACACGGGGCTCCAATCCCAGACCTTTTTAGTTTTTGTTTGTTTGTTTTGGATTTTTTATTTGTTTGTTTGTTTTATTTTGAGACAGTCTTGCTAATTGCCCAGGCTGGGCTCCAACTTGCCTCCACCTCCCAGAGTGCCCAGATAGGTGTGCTCCACCATGCTCAGTGTAGTGGTATATACTTTTAGTATTTCTGGGTGTGGTTTTTCTTTCCTTTCCTACTTTTTTGTTGTTTCAAGAGCGCTTGGAGCTGCTACTGAGGCATTCCAAGCGAGGTGCTTCAAACACCTTGTCTGATGGTCACCGACACAGCTGTCGTCGGCACTGGGGGCTGATGGGAGTTGGGTTTCCTGTCGTGGGTCTGACCCAAAGGTGGGGCTAGAGCTGCCCACCGTCACTTCCCGGGGTTCTGGGGTCCGGGCCCCTGGCAAGCCTGTGCTGCGGTCTTCTGCTGACTTGGCACATGGTTAGTTGCACTTAGGAAAATCAAGGGCGTGTCTGAAAGGATTCATTATGGAATGGCCTGAAAAGGTGCCTTCAGATAGAGACAGGAAACATGATGAGATTAGGGAATGCCCAGAAGGACAGGATGGGGCAGGTCCTTAAGGAGAGCGGGGGTAAAATCAGCCGCGAGAAGAGCTCACCACTGCGCAGCAAGTGAAATGCAAATTTCATACCTGCCCAGCAGCCTCTTTCAAAGAGGACAGCAGACTAAGGTTTGGCACCTGCGGTGCAAGAGAACTGGAAACACGGTAAGGACAGGGCAGCTCAGAACACGGAGAGTTCTTGGGGACCCTCGGCTCGGCTCAACTAGATTTCTGGAAGCATGTGGTACAGCTTACCTTGTGGCATGAGGTGCTTTCTCTCTGGCTCTCTGGCTCTGGCTCTGGCTCTGGCTCTGGCTCTGGCTCTGGCTCTGGCTTTCGCTCTGGCTCTCGCTCTCTCTCATTCTTGAGGATTGAACCCAGGGCCTTCACATACATTCCCAGCCTTTTCTGTATCTTTTATTTTGAAATAGGGTCTCACTCACTTTTCCCAGCTAGACTCAGACTTGCCACATTCCTGCCCCCCCCCCGAGTGCTAAGATCACAGGTGTGCACCCCCACACCTGGCCCAGTAGCAGGCTTCTCTTATTCATCACGATATTTAGACAAAGCTGGTAAAGCTTTCGTTGGCACCTCCTCTAAAGACCCCAAGATTGTCCTGGCAGAGTGGTTACTGGTGCCCAGAGAAGCCTGGAACCCCAGATTAGAAGTTGCCCCAGCATCAGGAGGACCCATAACTTTTTGCAAGGCCCTGCAGGCGGATGTCCACCTCTTTCCCAAAGCAGGACCCACTCTCCTGCTTGCTCTAATTCTTGGAAATTGCACATATCAGGCAAGTGCTTTTAATTAGAAAGGAGTGTCCCGCCGAGCCTTCCTTTCCATCCTTGCTTGAAAGGGGACAAGAAGATACTTTCCCAAAGCAAGGCAATGCAGCGCAGTGGCCGGTGCATGCTTGGGGTGAGGCCCATGTGGACCAGGGCCATGTTCTCCCTCTGTCTGAGCCAGAGCTTCTTGGTGGCCCCAGTCTGTGTGCAGGAGGCCTGTCTTCCTTAGTGGGAGCTAGAACAGGGAACACGGAGCAGGGAACAGGCTCCATCCCTGGTCATTCCACTGCTGCTGTCACCCTGTGTAACACAGACTTGCACGTTTGTGTGTCAGAGGAGGTGGGTGACCTCAGTAGCCAGCCCGCAGACACAGACCCGTGCCTGGGAGTTGGGTCCCACTGTGCACTTCCCTGCTAGGATCAAGCTACCCCTGACTGTGGACGAGATCGCCAGCTTCGGTGAGGGCAGCAGGGAGCTGTTCGTGCGGTCCAGCACCTACAGCCTGATCCCCATCACAGTGACCGAGCCAGGCCTCACCATCAGCTGGGTCTTCTCCTCTGACCCCAAAAGTATCTCCTTCAGTGTGGTCTTCCGGGAGGCAGAGGACACACCCCTGGACCAGTGCAAGGTAGGTGGGCCTGCCGACCCTGCTTCCCCACACCGGGCACATCCCCTGCTGACCAGGGCAGGCAGAGCACCTGGGGCTTGTCCAGTTGGCCCTGTGTGGGCAGAAGGAGACCAGCTCAGAACAGCTGCATGGGGCAGGTTGAGTCTGATCTTGAGAGGTCAAGGCACTGCCTAGAGCTTTCTGGGCCCAGGGCTGGGGTAAGGCTGATTTTTTTACCAAGCTACGCAGAGCTGGAGGGGCCACCTCTGCAGGTGTGGCCTCTGCCCTGGATGCAAGGCGACAGGGAAACAACCGCAAAATACTGTGGGTGGAGAGCTCATGTGATGTCAGGCTCAGTCATGCCACCCGCCCGGGGCTTACCCACCTTGTCCTCATGACCTTGGATCTTGGGGCCCTGGCCCTCCCTGATGATGACCCTGTCCTCCACAGTGGACACCAGGGGGCAGAAGAAGCCCATGTCCTGGGTGCTCAGATGCCTTCTGCCTTCCCCGCTCCTCCTGGGCTCAGGATGGGGCAGCTGGTACCTGGCCTGGCTCCGGGCACTTGTGCTCAGCAGCTGTCCCAAGGACCCCCATATACCCCGCTAGCCTGGGACTTGTGGGAGTCAGTGTGTACCAGGCAATGACAGCAGTGCTCAGGTTCCAGGGTGACAGAAACACAAGTACAGGGGCCATACGGGTCGAGTCAGTCGGGTGGTGCAGGACAGAGGAGGCGTGTCCAGGCTGAGGGGCTGGAAAACCCGGGAGAGTTGGCAGACATCCTCAAGCCACGGAGGCCCAGCCCAGGGTGTGTGGACACAGCTAAGAGGGAGGAGGAAGCTCTGAGCGTCTCCGTTTTAACAAGTCAGGCGGCTCTCAAGAATCCAGAGATGCACACTGGCCTCTTGGGAAAAGGACAAAGCCAATTCAGCAGCAGCAGAAAGAAGGAAATAATGAAGATCGGAGCAGAAAAAGGCAAACTAGAGAATCAAAAGAATGGTACAGAATATCGATGAAATAGAGCTGGCTTTTTGAAACCAAAAACAAGCCCTTAGCCAAACTACCCGCAAGACAAAGATGACCCAAATAAATAAAATTAGAGATTAAAAAGGGACATTAGGGGCCAGCTAGATAGCTCAGTTAACTAAGCGCCTGCTTTGGCAAGAGCAGGGACCAGGGTTTGATCCCGGGGCAGGCTGAGTCGGCAAACAAGTCCAGGGATAGTGGCGCACACCTGTAATCCCAGCTCTGGGGAGGCTGAAGACAGGAGGCTCACTATGAGTCTGAGCTGTGTAGTGAGACCCTGTACCAAGTACATAAATGGGAAAAAAATAAAAGGGGAAATGACAACAGTTGCCGTGAAAGCCGTGGTGTCGTTAGTAAGCACTTAGGCCAGTAAGTTGGAAAACCTAGGAGAAATTTCCAGACGTGAAGAACGACCAAAATTGAACCAAGAGGATCTAGAAAACTTAAATAGCTAAATGTCTGGGTTACTTTTCTCCCGTTGCTGGGACAAAATACCTGACATCCAAAATTAAGAAAGGAAACATTTATTTAGCTCACAGTCAGTAGATGTTTCAGGCCATCCTTGGCTGGCTCCAAGGCAGATGGCACCTGGCAGAGGGCCGCAGCTCATGGCGAAGGAAAACAGGAAAGAGCCAAGGGAGGGCCAGCGGCTGGGTCAGCAGAGGCTAAGAGCAGCCCCTCTCCCTTCCTTGTGCTGCGAATGTCTGCCCCAGGGCGGGGGCAGCACTCACCCCATAATCCCAGCACTGGATCATGAATTAGTCACAACTGCTAGAGGTCTGGCCCATGACTACGTGAAGCTTTGGGGGGACGACTAGACACCAACCATAACAGTAAATAAGATGCATTTAGATTAAAGTGGTAATAAAAAGTCTCCCAACAAAAGTCCAGAAGAGACAGATGTACTGATAAACTTGACCAGACTAAAGAGCTAACACCAGTGCTCCTGGAGCGACTCCATGAAGTAGAAAGAGGAAGCGCCTTTGCCAACTCACTCGAAAAAGCCACCTCGTTCTGCTTCCAAAACCTGGTGAGGACACAAGGAAAGTAAGGGACAGATGCAGCTGCCCTTATCCATAGTGAAACACTTGCAAGTCGAAGTCAGCCGTACATTCCAACAATCCTAAGTCCTGTCCAGCCAGTTTTATTCCCAGACGCAGGGGGTTCCTCATGCACAAAGCAGGTTAGTGCAGCACAGCCAGAATGCGGGTAAAAATCCACGGTGGGGGTCAGGGAGCCGGGGCCAGGTCACGATCTGCAGCAGACCGATACCCACAGCGCCACAGGTGTCCCCAGCCCACGTGTATCCGTGGCTCTTAAGCTCTGGCCCGGCAAGAGGCCTCAGCCTCCGTGCCCCAGGGCCCTGCCTCGGTGACCTATCTCCTCCTACGCTTCCCCCAGGTCCTCATCCCCACGACCCGGTGCCACTCCCACAAGGAGAACATCCGGGGCCAGCTGAAGGTGCGCTCGCCCGGCATCTACATGCTCATCTTTGACAACACCTTCTCCAGGTAGGTGGCAGGTGACCCTGTGGGTCCCGTCTCTCTGCCACCTGCTGGCAGGCACAGAAGTGAACCCCTAATCCTGCCTCCACTGGGGACAGTTCATGGCTGGCGTCCTGGGGTTCACCATGAATGTCCTAAGACAGCATGATGGTGTCAGGGTCCTACCCAAAGCCAGAGGGGCCCTGGAAATGCAGCAAGGGCGGAGAGGATGAAGGAAGGTGGGGAGAGAGCGGGAGGAGGCTGAGCCAGGAGGCAGGCTGGGCCTAGCGTCTCAGGAAGCCAGCCCTGACGGTGCTGCTGCCCCCTGGGGCCATCTCTGGGGCCGTTTGGGATGTTCAAATCAAGGTGGCAGCCTGATTTAGATGCCCAGTGAGAAGGAAACCCAAGCATGTCCACCTGGCTGCGCCCACAGGAGGCCCACAGCCGTGTCCCCAGACCCCAGCCTTCTGTGGGAGCCCACGCTCCCTGCAAGGTCCGACCCCAGCAACAGGCACCCACATCTGCCAGGCCCCCCTGCAACCACAGCCGTAAGCTCCAGGCACCACCCTCCCTCTCTCCTCTGTCCCCTCAGGTTCATCTCCAAGAAGGTGTTTTACCACCTGACGGTTGACCGGCCTGTGATCTACGACGGCAGTGACTGCCCGTAGCACCAGGCACCCGGACTCCTTGGTGTCACTTCTTGGTGTCACCGCATCTACAGGAAACACTACTCTTCCTCCCATCACATGAAGCCCAAGAAAAAGAAAAGAAGCAGAGCAAGCCCACCAGCCCAGCCTTGCAGCCCGCAGCTCTGCCCTCAGCCCCCGAATGTCCTCTCCACCTGAGGCTCCTAAGGGCTTGGTGACACTTCCCCTGCTGTGACCCACCTGTCCTCATCCCAGGGACGCCTCCCAGAGGTTCCACCTCTCCTAGAAAACAGCTGGTCAGAGCTGAGCTCGCTCCCAGTGGTGCCCTGTGGCCTCGGTCCAGGTGCCCTAGGCACACCCCATGCCTCCCAGGACGAGGCCACAGGACTAGGGTACAGGGCTGGGGGTCCTCCCACCACCCCTGCCAGCCCCTCCTCCAGTCGCTCGCTGTGACCTAAGTGTGGGGTTAGTGCACGAGCACTCAGATGGGGAGGGGCCACTCGGCCACGCTGTCCTCATGGCCTTGCCCGGGTACCTCTGTCCTTCAGCAGCGTCTGTGCTCAGCCAGGCCCCTGAGAGCTCAGCATGCCCCGAAGGCCAGCGTGCTCGGGGCCTCCGGGGCCGGGGAGCTCGAGACCCGAGCAGCACTGTGTGCACATCTCCTGCTCCTGGCCTGGCTGTTCATGCACAGGGACGCCTGCCTCGCCCGCAGACACCTGTGTACCAGTGATCAGAGCCAGGCAAGAGCCACTTTCACACACCTTGAACAAGTCTTCAGTATGAAGTCGCAGAGGAAACAGGCCATAACTTACTCTCGTCCCCCCCCCCCCCCCCCCGCCAGTGTCCCGGCCTATGTGCCCACTTCCTTCTCTAACAGGAAGCAGATGCTCTGCCATTCCCCGGGGTCCTTCTCCACCCCCTGGGAGCTCCTGCTCAATGGCCTCTGTCCCCTATACAGCTGGCCACCTGCAGTCCAGCCCGTGCTATGTCCACAGGTGTGCAGAGCGTGGGACACAGTGGCCTGCTGCAGCCAGGGGCGAGGACAGAGCCCTGCCAAGCTGGCTATAGGGCTCTTTGCTGGACCAGCCATATCGCCACACCACCCTGTCTACCCCAAGCTGTGACTCACTGCCAGGGAGGCCAGGCCAGGTCCAGCCCAGACCCCAGGCCTCCAGGGTGCCCAGCCTTGGCCACAACACCAGCAAAGAAGACACTTGTGGGTCACGGGTGAGAGGACTCGGAAGGGTCAGGGCCGTGGCCTCTGCAGGGGCATGTTGTGCAGAGCCCAGCTGCTCAGCACAGGGCAGAAAGCCTCCCAGCCTGAGTGTCCTCTCCAGCGTGCCTGGGGCCTGAGTGTCTCGGGGACAGACTACCCCGCCTGAGACCCCCTGCCCTCTTACACAGGCCATCGGAAGTTGGCCGCGAGCTAACAGGAGTGCCCGGCACAGCCCGGAATCTGCTGCCAGTGCTGGCCAAGCCAATGGCCCCTCGCTGATCTCATTGCCACCCCATGCAGCAGGAACCACCTGTCCCTGAGTAGCTGCCATGTGGGCTGGGCAGGCCCTGAGGCACCCCTCTGAGTTCCATTCTGGCCATCGCCACTGTCATGGTGGGGGTGAGCACCAGTTCAGAGACCTGTGTTCAGGTTCAGCTGTCTGAAGCCACCCAAACTGCTCCTGGAGGACAGCCTGGCCTTGGTCACTTCCTCTTGGCCTCAGCATGTTCATTTCTTATGCTGAGCAGACACTCGTACAGTGTTAACTCACCGCGCAGTCCCAGTTTGCAGTTCAGTCTGTGGCTACATACAGACCACCTCACTGGCCTATTTAAGGCTGACTTACACACATAGCTTTATGCTTACTCTAAACCGTTCCCAACTGTACTGAGGTTTAGAGCTTGAGGTCATTTTTTAAAATGCAAATGACAACTGAGCCACTGCTGATGGCTATGGCCTGGCTAGATGCAGCTATGCCAGAAGTCAGAGCAGCTGTCCAGACCCTGGGCCACTACCCCTTGCTGGCCTCCCTCTCTGAAAGACAAGAGACCTGCCAGATACGTGCTCACCCACCAGCAAGGCAGCGGGGTCCCCACAGAGCCCCAGGCTGGTGACCCAGCTGCAGGTGGCATGGCCAAAGCAGGCAGGTTTGACCTCAGGAATCTGGGACTACAAAACCCCACAGGCTCAGGAAGTGGCAACGCAGAGACACATCATATAACTCAGAAATGAAGGGGTGGTGTTTCTGAGCACTCGAGGGTCACCTGCAGCAGGGAGGCGCTCCAGGCCTAGGAGTATTCGTACAAGGGTGCAGTCTCAAGTCTGGTGGACATTCTGGGGCACCATATAGGAGTTTCATTTTTAAAGTCTGTCTGGTATCCTTCGGACTGAGAAGCCGTTCTTGATTCAGCATTGGGGATCGGAGCACAATGAAGCCATCTGAGGTGCTCAGAACCAAGGGCCATCTCGCGCTCTAGCCCTGAGACCCTGCTCAGGGCTACGAAGACCAGCACTCAGCGGGGCTCAGGGAGCTTTTGCATCATTGCAGTCCTTCCAAGGAAGCAGGAAAGACGGGACTAATGAGTCCCTCTTCCCTCCTAAGCACTTTTCTTGATCAAGTAGAGCTCTACAATTTCAGGGAGCATCTCTGATAGACCAAAGCAAAGCAAAAACAATGGCTTCCCTAGAGCCTTATGGTGCGTGTTCTCCAGAGATGCTGCCTGGGGCTGCAGGGACGTCCGTCCTGGGGCAGAGGCTTGGAAATCAGAATGCACTTTACTGCCCCTCACTTCCAAGGCCTTAGGACAGTGGGCAAGGGCGCCCGTGTCACTCTTACCCACCAAAGAATCACCCAGTGGTGTCAGATACCAGCAGCAGCCCCATGGGGGGGCCAAGACACTTGTATCCTAGACCCTGTTCCTTTATAGTGTCTGCTAAGCCGTTTGGAAATACTTTTAACCTCAGGACTATAAGTAAACACTATGACATCGGGAATACATGGTCTGCCATTCTGTTGGGATGCATGGTCAGATGAGTGACAGCAGGCCTGTGTCAGGAGGCAGAGCACCCTTCCGTCATGTGGCGCTGGCGGGGGACGAGGGTGTAGCTCCTGCTTGGCCTGCCTGTTTTTGCTGGGATGCAGGTCCCTGATGGGCTAGGGGGACAGAAGCACTGTGGTCGTCCCTGGCCTGGCTGGATGAGCTCGACCGGGCTGCCCGCTCACGCCTCTCACCCCAGGGCAGAGGGCCCCTGCCTGAGTGCCCTGGCCCCAAGGACACCATCCAGCACCCCAGCCTTCCTCTGCCAGTGGCCCAGTCGCACGGCCTCCTGATCGACTGCCCTTTTAGCAGCACCCAGGTTGTCCCACCTGGGCAGGAGCAGGGGCTCATTCACCCTCACCCCCTCCCCACCCAGTCTCCCCCTGACCTGGAGCAGGAAGGGCTCCAAGGCAGAGTCACTAGAGACACTGGTGTGTTCAGTGCCTGGGGCCACTCAGAGGCAGGGACAGAGCTACAGGCCTGGAGGCAGGGATGCAGAGGAGGCAGCCACTTAGTCCTGAAGGGTCACTCCAACTGGAGCTGGGGCTTCCAGGTGGGCCTCCATTTACCTCACCCCTCCCAGACTGCTGGGAGACTGCAGAGGACCAGAGCCCTACACAGCTGCTCCAAGCCCACATCCGAGATCCCAGGACTCAGCCCTGAGGCGGAGCACCCTGCGCTGTGACTCAGAAGGGGATGTGCCTCGGGTGAGCCCTTTGGACCTGAAGATGCATGGGAACAATCTTGCTGCCCACACACCTCCGAAAGACAGACTGATGAAACCTGTGACCCCAAATGAGAAAACGGGGTTTTTTAGAGACCACAGTTAAAGCTGAAGCTATCAAAAGCTGGGGTGAAAGCGTTGTGCTACGGAACGGTTATTGGAGTGGGTTAGGGTGGAGGGGAAGGGCGGCCTTTGACTCCCCACACTGCCGGCTTCTGATGCAGCACACTGGTGACCTCAGGCGTCTGATGTGGCCTCTCACCACTCCCCCAGGCTCTGGGAGGACAGGCTGCTGGCTGGCACCTTCACACCACAGGCTCAGCTGCACTTGGTTCTGGACTGCAGAGTGAGTCTAAAGCCTGCAGGCCTGCAGGAGCCAGAGTGAGTCCTCCCCAGAGAAGGTCCCACTTGCACACCAGCTGGCTTCTCCTCCGGCCTGAGTCCAGAAGCAGACATCTCCCAGGGCAGACGCAGAGAGAAAGTCCCTCCCCGAAGGCCTGGACACCCAGCTTCCAGTCAGCAGGGACAGTGCCGTCTCCTCCCCAACATGAAAAAGGACAGAGAGGGCCAGGAAGATGGCTCAGCAGCATGAGCACCTGCCTGGCAAGTGCAAGGTCCTGAGTTTGATCCCTGGTACCGCCAAAAAGAAAAAGGAAAAGGAAAGAGAGAGCCAGTGTGTGACAGGAAGGGCTTTCCCTGGAGATGCAAAGGCCAGGCTGCGTTCTAGGTTAGCAGAAGCTGTCTGTCCTTGGAGGAAGGGAACAGAGAGGAAATGGCAGTGCTGGGCAGCTAAAGCCAAAGGCCACATCCGGGAGAGCCGAGGTGAAGGTGAGCCGAACTGGACGCCTGACAACATCGCCGAGGGCACTGGCTGCCACGAGCTAGTGTCATGCTCTGGCTGTGGCTCCTCAGCTTTGCAGGCCTTTGCCCATGAGGGGTCTGTGTGCACAACAGTTTGTGCACACCCGTGGGGACCCCACAGAACTGCTGGGTGTTCTCAGAAAGAGCTCACACCCAGCCCTAGAGGGCCCCGTGGAAGGGAAGTTGCCGGGCCTGGATGGAGTCTTTGGTTGTCACACATCCAACAGAGCCACGGGGGAGAGCCCAAGACCCACGCAGGGCTCCTTTTGTTCCGAAGTCCCCTGTTCATTTAGTGTCAGCACACAGAGCAAGAGGACACCTGGTGGCCTGGAAGCACCAACGGATGCGAATCAGCCTCGTCAGCTCGGCTCCTCGGGTCTGGCCACCAGAGGGGAGGCGGGCAGGGACCCCCTCCGAGGTGCTCGGGAGCATGGCTGCGTCTCCGCAGACTCGCTAGCACATGAGGACTGATGGGTCTGCCTCTGATTGACCAGAGACCTCGGGTGACAGCACAGGGACTTCTTCCTTACTCCACTGGGCCTGCCTCTGCAGTGCAGCCATGGAAACTTGATTGTTGTCGAGGACATTTCTAAATTAATTACCTGCCATAAAACTATTCTGCAGGTAAAATACTTTCACAGACACAATTTTTACACTTGTCTTTTTATTCAACGGGCGCATTGACAACTGGCTGATCTCTTCATCAATGGAAACATGATTCCTCCCTTTGTGTCTTTACCTAGTGCAGCTATTAGAATAAATGAATTCACTTAAAGTTACAGAATACAAGTCAGCATATGAAAATCTGTGGCATTTCTGGAGGCAAACGGTAGATCTGGAAAAGAAATCAAGAAAGCAAACCCATTTATGAAGCTATTTTTACTTTTTTTTTTTGGTGGAACTGGGGATTGATCTCAGACCCTTGCATTTGCCAGGCAAGTGCTTATTCTACTGAGCCATCTTCCCAGCCCCTATGAAGCTATTTTTAAAGCCTAGGAAAAATTTTAACCAAGGAGATGAAAGAGCTCACAATGAAAATTATTTTAAAAATTGATGAAAGAAATTAAAGAGCATGAGTAAAAGGAAAGATACCATGTATTCATAGGTTAGAACAACAGCTACTGTTGAAACACCCAATTCAGCCTACTCAAAGCATTCAGTGCAGTTCTTATCCAAATACCAATGGCTTCCTTCACAGAACTACAGAAAACCAACCCTAACATTTATGTGGAACTACAAACGACCTAGGCCTCCAAAGCGCTCTGGAGAACACAGAACAAAGCTGGAGGCAACACACTAGCTGGCTTCAGCATCTACTATAAGCAGGGCATGGGGGCATGCTCCTGTCGTCCCAGCTGCTTGGGAGGCTGAGGCAGGAGAATCCCCTGCATCCAGGAGTTTGGTGGTAACTTAGGCAACACGAGTTCAATTCCCTCTCTTAACAAAACAAACAGCAATACACACACACACACACACACACACACACACACACCAAACTACAAAGCAATAATAATCAAAACAGCATGGTACTGGTATAAAAATAGATACAATAACAAAGTAGCAAAATCATGAACCAGAAACTAGATGGTGTCTATTGTTTTTTGACAAAGGCACCAAAGAGAAGAGTCTCCTGCTCCCATGGTGCTGGGAAAGCTGGGTGTGCAGGTATGGAGGGATGAAGCCACACTCACGCTCCCCACCACAAACAGGTTGAAATGGCTCAAAAAAAAGACACCCTTCATGTCCGCCTGCACTCACCAAAGGGGCACCTACCTAGCAAGCTCTGCAGCGCGAGGCCCTGAGGGAAGCCCAGGAGGGAGCCATGGTCTGTCGCGGCCTCCCCTGGCCCGCGTGCCGAGCTGCACGCAGAGGTGCGCCGAGAGCCCGGCAGGTCGGCTTCCAGGATCAGACAGCTGCGTGTCCACTTCCTGCGGTGGCCGGACAAGCTGGCTCGTAGAGTGCTGAGTGCTGCGGTCTCCAAGCACGGCCCAGCACCAGCTGACCGCCTCTGCTGGGGGTGGAGCCACAGCCCGCCCCTCGGCCCTCGGCCTGCTTGTGACCGTCCTGACCAGTGAAGAGGAGAAGTGACGCTGGCTTCAGGAACCATGTCACATGACGACACGCACCTTCCCCTCTTTATCTTGGGGTACTCACTCCAGGCGGCCAGCCACCCAGTAAGCGCCTGGGCCTGGCCACAAGTCTACCCTGCACTACGCACAGGTGGCCACATGCAGCCAGCATCCAAGCTCAAAATGCACAGCTGGGCCCCTTCCAACTTCCTGACCCACGAAATCGCCTGCAAGCTGAAATCGCGGAAGCTTTACACGAGCAAGTTTTATGGCGAAGGTAACTGGGACCTAGCAGATTGGAGGATAAACACATGCTTAGGATCTCTTTTTGCATTTATTTGTGAATAAGTCAAAATGGCAGTGACACTCACAGCTGTGTTTTGTTTCACTGCGTGCTCCTTAGACTTCATCCGAGCAAGCCCGCCCCACGCTCTGGCCTCTGGCCGCACACTCTCCTCTGCCCCGTCCCCACGCCTCCCACCTGCCACGCTTGCCTGGACGGTGCCCCCAGCCCTCACCTAGCAGGCCACAGGCAGCCCCCACTCCCTCCTGACCTCAGTACTTCCCACTGCGTGACCACTGTCCACCAGGATGTCCCAGCAGGAGCAGCACGTGTTTCCCGATCGCTTTGTACACCAGCAAGTGTGACCCAGAGCTGCCTCCCGCCTGGAGCTCAGGAGAGTTAGTGACGACCCAGTCTCAGGTTTGTGAGAGGAGCAAGGGACGGAAGAGGCAGGGGACAGTTGAGTGAGGACAGAAGCCGGCATCAGGGGCTCAAGGCCAGCAGACTGCCTCCACTGGCGCAGCATCCTCGCACAGTACATACACAGCCAACATGGACACACGTGCACACAGACACACACACACACACACACACACATGCTCACATACACAGACATGGGCACATAGACACAGGCACACATGCACACAGACACCCAACACAGACACATGCACATGCATGTACACACACACCTCCCCCAGGGCTCATGCTCCTTCACCAGGGAATTGCCCCTCCACAGCTGTGCACATTTGGGGAACAGTTGGGGCAAGGGGCAGGTGGAAGCTGCTCATTCTGCGGGACAATGGTGTCACCCCAACCAGTATCGCCCCTCAGGTGTGTCCTCTTGGAAGGAGGATGTCAGCAGGGCCTTGGCCTTTGGTGTCACAGCTTAGCCCACGCTGACCCAGCCTGAGCCTGTCTCCCAGCCCGTGGCCCTCAGCACAGAGTGTGCCGAGGTGGGCCAGCTGTGGGTGGGCCACTCGCTGTCTGTGCTGAGGGGACCCGTGGTGTGGAGACGAGAATCAAACCCCTCCCTGCCTCACCTGATTGGACAAGGTCGTCGTCTGGACAGGGAGCCCCACGTGGCTCAGTGCTGAGGCGCACTCTCAGGCCACAGTAAGCAGTCAGTGACATCAGAACGAAGAGAAACACCTCCTTTGACCATGCAGCCTGTGTAAGAGTGCTGGGGTGTGGGGGGGGCTGGAGGTGTGGGAGCCGGGGGTGTGGGGCTGGGAATGCAGGGCTGGGGTGCAAAGGCTGGGGGTGCAGGAGCTGGGGTGTGGGAGCCGGGGGCCTGGGGGCTGGGGGTGTGGGCGCTGGGGTGTGGGAGCCGGGGGTGGGGGGCTGGGAATGCAGGGCTGGGGTGCAAGGGCTGGGGGTGCAAGAGCTGGGGTGTGGGAGCCAGGGGGGTGGGGGCTGGGGGTGTGGGCCTGGAAATGCAGGGCTGGGGTGCAAGGGCTAGGGGCACAGGATCTGGGGTGTGGGAGCTGGGGACGTGGGGGCTGGAAATGCGGGGCTGGGGTGCAAGGGATGGGGATACTGGGGTGAGGGGGCCGGGGTGCAGGTGGGGTGCTGGGGTGTGAGTTCTGGGAATGCGGGGCTGGAGGCTGGGTGTTTCCTCTTCTTCCATAGTCCTTTGGAGTCCTCCCTTGACTGCAGGCCACCCGGAGTATAAGCAGACAAGAGCTCACCTCCGCTTAGGGGCAGCGACCCCCGCACTCCAGAGCCAGGATGGGGCCGGTGTGCTGGGGCTGGGCTCTGACTTGGGCCCCCGGGAAGCTCTCATTCTTAGGAGACCAGCTCAGCACTGAATGCCGAGGGCATCCTAAGGGAGGCTACAAACACAAGCAGCCCCTCTGCGAGCTTTCCCGAAGCAGAGCAGGCAGAGGCTCCTGGGGGCGCTCCTCACACTGCTTAGGGCATCCTTCCTGCAGTGCCTCAGTCAGCACCATCACAGAAATGCCACCAAGGTCCTCCGAGCCTGAGGAGACCAAAGAAGCATGAACACACAAGCGCTCCGAGCTGCCCCTAACCCTACTTTTTGCACGCAAGCAGTCATGCCCACACAGCTTGCCCCTGTGTGGAGCCAGGGGCTCCCAGAAGGATGTAGGGCACTGATGCCAAGTGCTGTCCTGTGTGGCCCAAGGCGCTCAGAAGGTGAAGCCAGAGCCAAGTGCATCCTGTTCACACACACACACACACACACACACACACACACACACACACTGCTCCTACTTCATTTTTGGGTTCTCCAAAGGGCAGGCACCTGGGTCTTCTCTTGGAGGTGACAGTCACGTGGGTGGCCACCAGGATTCCTCCCTGTGATGACGGAGGTGGTGCTGTTGTCTGAGCTACCTGGTGCGCTGGGCCCAGGCCTGTCCTTTCCTCCTACCACTGCCCTAGGGGCAGCCGGTAGAGTGGGCAGCATGAGCCCCTGGTGCCATCCCTGGTCCTCCCCATCCTGTCCTGTGCATCAGACACGGGCAGGGAGAAGAAGGCTTGTCCAGGAGGGCCTGGGCTTGTGTGTCCCCTGGGGAGGGGCAGTGTCAGGACTGAAACCCCAGCACCCACTGCACTCCGGAGGGACCGGACTCTTCCACCAAAGAAAGGGGTCACGCCAGGGGGCCGTGTGCTCTGTGCCCACTGTCCAGCCTAAAATCCCATTTCACTCATTGGAAAAAACTTGGGAAGAAAACCTGCCAGAGCAAAGTTTTTCAGCCAAGCCAGTTTTATTAGAGATTTTGTTTCTCCTCCTCTTCCCCTTCACTGTCTATTTGATCCCTTCATTACACCCACTTTAAGTGTACATTAAAAAACACTTCTCCATCGTTTTCAAATGTGGTAAATTTGCCAAACAGCTAAAATGAAGACACAAAGCAAAAATGATTTATATTACATATTTTAAGCCTAATTTCTAGGGTGAAAAGCTAACAAAGTACAGGGGCTAACAAGGAAGAGTCAGAAAGGAGGCCCTCAGCCCTGGACGAGAACAGAGCCACTCCATCCTCAAGGGAGCGGCCAAAGTCCGGCCACAAGGTGCGGAGCGTGTAGAGCCTGCTCAGGCTCTGAGGACCAGTGCCCAGTGTCAGTGGGCAAGAGACTCCTCGCCGGGGTCAGCCCTGTGGCCAGGCGTGGCACCCAGGCCTCCCGGTGACACCGACATGGGTTGGAAGCCAAGAGACTCCGGTGACTTTGGGTGTGGTCAGTCGTCCAGGGGGTCCTGGACCAGTCTTACACTTGATCTCAGAAGACAAATAAGGTCCCTTGCCCACTTGCCTGGAGGGGACCACGGACAGCAGAGGAAATGGATCTGAGTTCATTTGGAAAGGTTCTGGGAGAGAATCTGCAGGAGCCAGCATGGATCATGGGAGGGAAACGTCCCAAAGACATGGGGTGTGGGCTGTGGAGAGGACAATACGCTGGGAGAAGCAGCATCTGCGCTGAAGCCAGAACAATTCACAAAGCACCGAGACAACCCAAGGCTCCCCTGGGCCGGCTGGCATTCCAGCATGGGCAGCGCAAGCCCAGGATGGGCCTCGCTGCCACTCATCCCCCTCCAAAGTGCGGCCACCAGCCAGTCAGTGGCCTCTGTGGTTGTCAATTTGGAAAACTCTGATTTGGCAAATTAAGGCTGAACGTGGTAATGCTTCGAGATCACCCCTCTGCATTTCCCCCTCCATTTCCTTTCTGTGGGGAAACAGGGGCTGCCTGTCCCATTACATCCGGAAGGAGATCCCTACAGGGACAGCGCCCCCGATGTTGTCTCCAGCAACATGGACGACAGCTTCAGGCTCCCCTGCCGCCTTGTGTAGGAAACCCACTGCGCCCGGCTGATGCACCCCAAGTTCTTCAGGGTTCTCACAAGATCACGGCGGAACCGCTCACCCACAAAAACATAGAGCACAGGGTTCAGGCAGCTGTGGAGGAAGGCGAGGGTCTGTGTGACCTGCAGACAGATGTCAATGTTGATGGAAATGCTGCAGCTGGAGATGAACATGGCATAGGCGTCTATGGTGTGCACCAGCAGGACGCAGCTGTAGGGGAACTGAGACAAGAGGAAGGCGCTGAGGACGGCGGTGGTCACCTTGAGGGCCTTGTGCTTCGATGACCTCCTGGCCTGCTTCAGGGTGTGGATGATGATGGTGTAGCAGAAAGCCATGACCAGGAAGGGCAGGAAGAAGCCCAGGATGACCTTCAGCATCAAGACGGCTGACTTGGCCCTGGTGCTGTCCTCCCTGGGGTACACCATGGTGCAGGCCGAGACACCAGATTCCCTCTTGACGCGGCTGTACAGGACTTCCGGGGTGCAGAGCGCGGCGGCCAGCACCCAGATGGCGCAGCAGACCGCTTTGCTGTATGTGAGGCGTTTGCGCCGCCAGACCTGCGCTCTCATGGCCTGTGCGACAGCGATGTACCTGTCCACGCTGATGCTGGTGAGCAGCAGCACGCAGCTGTAGAAGTTCATCCAGAACAGCCCGTTGACCGCCTTGCACGCGAAGGTCTGGAATATCCACTGATCTGCGGCAGCCACGGCCCAGAAGGGGAGTGTGCCCAGGAAGAGGAGGTCGGCGATGGCCAGGTTCAGCAGGAACATGTCAGTCATGGTCTTCACTCTCGTGCAGTACCAGTAGACGAGTACGACCAGGCTGTTGCCCACCGCGCCCACGATGAACACGAGCCAGTACAGGGGTGGCAAGAAGTGACTGGCAAACTGCCTGACGTTGGACTTATTGCAGAAGACGTTCGGGAAGTCAGAGGTCATGTAGTCATCCGCAGTAGCTGTGGCGCCGTAGCTGTAGTCACCAGACATGTCAGGAATAAAGTTCTGCAGGGGACACAGATGGCACTCAGTCGAGGACAATCTTTTGGGGGTCTTATCTGACTGATCCTTCTAACCCCAACAATCTGTGTCAAGGCAAAAGACACACGTGTGGGAAACAAGAATCCTGAGGACTTCTTCCTGGTGGTGCTATGGTTTGGGCGTGATCGAGAGTGTCACCTAGTGGTGCTATGGTTTGGGCGTGATCGGGAGTGTCACCTGGTGGTGCTATGGTTTGGGCGTGATCAGGAGTGTCACCCTCAAGCTCCAGAACAGTGGTCCCAGGGTGGCAGTGCTGGATGGTAGAACTGCCCAGAGGTTAGGCCTAGTGGGATGCGGTCAGGTCATACCCCGCTGCCCTCAGAAGGGTTAGTGGTGCGCTCTTGTGACCCAGGGATCTACAACAGCAATACCAAGACTGAGCCTCGCCTGGTCTTTTCTACATCCTGTCCTTCCTTTGACCATGCGTCCCCTCTTCCACATGCCCCCGCCTTGGCGTCAGCTGCTGTGCTGTGATGTGGCTGGAAGGCAGCCCCAGGGCTGAGCCAAAGGGCTCGCCCAATCTTGGACACTTGACCTCAACCTTGAGCGAGCTGAACCTCTTCTCTTTGTACATGATCTAGCATCTGGCATTTGTTATAGCCACAGAAAACAGCAAGACAGTTTGTGAATAAACATCCCACACACGTTTATGGGATGCCTACTGCAGAGTGCTTGCTGGGCTGGGTACTAGGATAGACTGGTACATAAGTCAGACATGTTTCCCCCTCATCCCTTCCAAAGCGCAGCCACCAGCCAGTCAGTGGCCTCAGCAGCCGTCAATTTTGACGTGGGACCTAACTCATTCATGAAAGAGCTGGTTGTCATTGTTGTTTCATTTTGAGATAAGGTCTCCCTCTGTAGTTCAAGCTGGCCTCGAGCTCACAGAAATCCTCCTGCCTCAGCCTCGCAAGCTCTGGGATTACAGGTGTGCACGTCCAGCCCACCCACTTTCCATAGGTCCCTGGCCCAGAGCCACCCTAGGACCCTTGCCAGGGGCAAAGGAAACGAGGGTTGGAGGTGAGGGCCTGAGCCCTGCATTCCTGGTGGCAGAGCAGGAGAGGTGCCACACACAGAGGACAGCCAGGCCTCCTCAGCTGCAACATCCCCAAATGCTCCCTCTTGGCCCTTGCTCCCCAGCCCCTAGGGAGCACCCTCTCTCTCACCTGGGGGATGGTGTACCTGGCTACACCACATCTCTGCCTCTCTCTCCCCTTGGGCCGGTGTGGTCGTGTCCAGTTGTCAGGCCATGTTAAGACTCAAAGTCACTCCAGAGCCACAGAGACTTTTCTATTTTGTTCTGAATAGCTAGTAAGTATTCAGGTGCAAATATTCAGCTTATGCACTTAAATGTTCATCTCCACATAACCAGACACTGCTTGCCTGCCATTGGCTGGGCTCTGTAGAGCTCATCATTTCCATCTGTCCCTAGTAGGTGCCACCAGCTGCTCCAGAGCCATGTTTTGGGTGCAATGCTGGTGTGACACGGTGGAGAATCTCTGCATAGCACTGCAGGAGCTTCGACGCTCGCCTTCTCCCACGTGCCCTGAAGTCCCTGCGGAAGTCCTCCCAAGTCGGCCTTACAGAATTTCAGAGGTGCGTAGCCCAGCCAAGTTGTGGAGAGTCCACCGGGAGGCATCTCATGCTGACTAACGTTTTCTTAGCCTCACTGAACCTGTGTGCACGTGTGTGCGTGTGTGTGTGTGTGTGTGTGTGTGTGTGTGTGTGTGTGTGCGCACTCAACAGATATCAGGGCACACTGAGCGGGCCAACCCTGGGCAGCAGGCTGTAGGAGGCTGCTGTCTCCTGAGTACTGAAGCTGGCGCCCAGAGCCCGTCCTGTGTGGGTCCTGGCTGGCAGGAAGCAGCAGGGGAACCCCAATCACCAAGGAAACGCGGCCACACCTGGGAACACTGGACATGTAGTTGTGGCTCTGCCTTGAGTATGTGACCAAGAGGAAGTCCTGCTACAGATAGGGACCTGCGAGGGAGGCCCTGGGGACCGTGCTTCAGGACAGGACAGCTGGGAATGGCCCAGGACTGTGAGCCGCTAGCTGGGAAGTCCCCTCCCCGTCGCGTAGGTGCTGATTCACTAAGTCCCCACTCACTCTTGGCATTTCGCAGTAACCTGGACCACTCTGCGAGGGCCCAGGGTCCTGGGAGGAAGCCCTCACAGGCAACATGCATTTTAGGCAAGGGCCTGGGACAGGCCTGCCAGGCTGCATGCTGGAGCTGACACAGCCAGGCCTGAGACAGCCAGCCAGCCCAAGGCAGTGCACTTTGGGGAGGCTTCAGGGACAGAAGGGCACTCCTGCGCTGTCTCTCCACCAACATGGTTCCTCCTTCCGTGTCACTGTCTGAGTCCCTGTCTTCCTGGGTGGTGGCAGCGAGAGACGCTTCCTCCACGACAGTTCTCTACCTAGTGACTTGGCTCAGCAGGTTTTGCCCAGCTCTTGGGTGCTCAGAAAAGCACCCTTAAAAACCTTCCTACTCATGACATCTAAGTTCCTGCTGTTCTGTCTTCACAGCGTGCCGCTGACACCTGTCTCTGGCTTGCAAAGCGCTCTGTGCTGGCAAGAGCTGGTATCAGGCGCTGCGCTGCAGAGTGCGTGGGGAGCCCTTCCCCACACGGGCTCCTTCCCAGGCCCCAGCAGGAGGCAGAGTGGAGGCCCAATTTCAGGCCCCCGAGGGTGCGCTGTACTCACTGTGAGCTCTGTGGGTGTCATGGTGGGTCAGACGCAGTCCTGCTCCTAGAAAGAGAGCAAAAATCAAGGAGACCCTGTTTATAAATGCACAATAGCAACCAGATACCAAAAAGACAGAAATCAGATATTAAACTTCTTCATGCTTATGGGGGAAAATCCCAGGCAAGAGCCAGGGTGCGTGCTGTGCTGATACCAAGTCATAACAAATCTAGATTTGAGAAGCATCTTGGTTGTTGACCTGCAGTGAAGGAAGCCTCTCTTCTGACTTAGCATTTGGGTCTCTGGCCCCCCTACTCACCAGTGCTAGGATCTGGCACTCACGCGTTTTCCCAGCCCACCCTTTTTACATCCTCTGTGTATCTTCGATCAAGTCCCGTTTGGCTGAAAGGCTCCGACCGCCACCACCTGTTTTGTCCATAAGCAACTCGCTGAGGCTCAGGGGTCAGTAGGTGCTTTGAGAATGCCCTGGGCTCTGGACCCCATGAGGGAAAGGGGTCTAGTACCCAAGGGGTGTCGGGAAAGGTGTCCAGTACCCTAGGTAACCAGAGAAGCAGAGGCTTGACTTGGCCCAACAGGTCTGGCCTGAGCAGGGCCTGTGAACTCCAGCGAGCGCGCCTTATAAAGGCTGTCTGATGCTGTTCTCCAAGGCATGAGTATCACGCCTTGCTGTACAAACCCAGCCCTGGCCTGCCGGCTTCTTTCCCACAGCACCCAGCCTTCTCCTCAACACAGAGAATGTGCTACAACCACTGCGGAAAACAGCGCTTGATTCCTAGACATCAAAGCACTGACTTGTCTGTGATCAGCCACCCGTCTCTGAGCACTTGCCTAAGAAAAATGCAAGCACGGGTCCCCAGAAGGATTTGTACACCAGCTTCTTCTGCAGTAGCCCCAACCCGGAACACTCCGGTGCCCACCAGGTAGTGAGTAGACAGATAAGCCGTGGGTTATCCATGGGGTGAGTAAGGGACCAATGACATAGACCAATCTCAAAACAACCATGTGAGGAAAGAAGCCACACCAAAAGGCACGGGCAGCACAGTTCCACTTATGAGAACTCCGGATGGTGCCGGCGCATCTCCAGTGGCAGGAAGCAGATCGGAGTTGCAAGAGAACAGGAGGGGAGTGGGGCCCAGAGGTGGGCAGAGGAGCGAGCAGGAGCAGCTGGGGCTCCAGGTAAGTAAGTGTCCAGAGCACCCCTGTGGGGACCCGCATAGCACAGTTGTCTCACAGGCAGGCGCACATCCAGGCACATCTTGTGCTCTCAAGATTTGCAGCTTGTTGCTACTAACCACTGGGAAAGCCATTAAGGTGAAGAGGTGTGAAAAGAGCACCAGAGCCGGAGGGGCAGCAAGAGCTTCTGCCAGCAGTGACACAGTGAGCCCTGTGGGCCGTGGGCTGTGACGGTGGGACCAGGAGGGATTCAGGCACAATGGTTTTCAAATAGTAGATGAGACTAAAAGGAAGATGGGTGGATGGGTGG